TATATATATATATATATATATATATTCTACGACCGTTCAAAATTTTCTAATATTCTAATGCAATTAATGTAGCATAATGTAAATATAAAGTTACAAGCTTTGTGAATGTATGCACATTCATATGTCCGTAAAGTGTACAGATGTATTTATTCAGAAATATTAAATATCTCTTGTGTACTTTGATGGGTTAAAAGGCATTTATTTCGAGACCTTAACTAAAAAAACTAGAAATATCCAGTTTATAAAGAGTACTTTCGTTATTGCTTATCGTTTATTCCATTAAAATTGTACATTACATATTATTATCTATAATTCTGTATTACAAGTTTTTGTTTCATTAATAAATAATCTACATATTTAGTATTTAAAACAACCTTTAAATTAGTATCGTCGAAATAACATTCTTTTTGTAATTGATATTTCGATTCATGCATTCCATTACCGTATCCTATCATACTAAGATTGTTATTACCATTGTGCTTTTTCCGTTTCACATAATAAAAACAAAGATTTAGAAACTTCGACTCTTCTCTATAAAAAGGATTATCATCATGGTAAAAAGGATTTTCAATAATCATGTTACTATCAAAATTCTTAATACTGTGTGTGAACAATTTTACGAAAAATAGATTCATATCGTTATCCGTAGGAAAGTTTAGTGTTCCAAGTATCACTTCGGATAATAATCTTTGATATATAAGTTCATCGTGTCCTAAACTTTCATATTCACTATTAATTGTCTGTAGAACATGCATCTTTAGATTTTCAATAATATCTTCATGTATCTCTGCAATCTCATCTTTCAGTAGAATTAAACAGCAATGTAAAGTAGTTAATTTATTTTTACTTGTTAATTCTGCAAATCGATAAACTGCGAATTTCGTAAGTTCAACCGCGATTCTCCTCGTGTGTTCTTCTTCGTGAACACTTAATTGAAGTGCCTGAGACAGTACTTGGTTTATCATTATCTCATTTCGAGAAAAGATTCTCAATATACATTTCAAACTCCATAAATTAGAATATCTTGCAGTTTCTAATTTCTTAACAAACGGATTTTCTATTACTTTCTCAATTTCTAATTCACTTATGTCTAGTACAGGCCATTGCTTCAAAGTTTTCAAAGAGTAATTTATCATTGCGTTTAAAAGTAATCCATTATGATCATGTTCATTCAGCAATAGACATTTGAGCACAGTTTTTAAAATTGGAATGCTACACGACGCATGATTTAAAAAAGAAATACTTTGATCGATGCAAGGGGAGTACAAAATTTTATGTAAAATATCAATATTAACGTTATTCGTGCGATTTATATAGTTAGCATACAATTTTGTAGAAAGATCGATAAATTGAAAAAATCCTGGTTTTATTTTCTCAGAGGAGAGTAAAGATCTATTTTCGTTAAAAATAAATACATCTTCTTCAGATATCTCACCGGAAATAAATTCTTTTGACTGTAAAAATAGCACTTCTATTATATAACATATTTGTAAACTACCTTTTCCTTTGGGCACATTTCTCCAAATTTGTAATATTTCTCGAAATCGTAGCAATTCTGCAGATTGCTCTGATGCATGACACGTGTATTGTTTGACATTCGAACATAAATTCATACTTTCGATTTCAGCGGATAATTTTTCCTTAAGGAATTTCATAGTTAACAAATAACCATGAATTAAATTAACATTGTGACATGAAGAAATGTCGTACCTTAATTTCTCGAGCTCCAATTCAATTTTTAAGAAATCTGTTAATGCCGCATATGCTTTTGCAGCTAAAAGTCTAACATATAAGATAGGATTTCCAAGTAGTATGTAAAGTAAATGTCTTACTTTTGACAAATATTCTTGCGAGGAATAATCAATTAAATTACAAGCACTGCATGAAAATTTCGAAAGGAGTATAAGAATGTGAACGATATTTGAATGTAAATATAAAGCAGTAGAAAACTTCGTAAACGTAAATGAAAACTTATGTAATTCTTTCATAACATGATCTGCAAGGGTTGGATAATGTGTAACAAAATGATTAATTGAATAACCGTTTCCAAAATCCAACGTGTCTCCATAACTTTGACCTATTAATCTTGGAACTATCGAACCAAATAATTGTAGACTTGCATTTCTGATAGTCCATATTTCTGACTGCAAGTATTTGAAACAAGTCAGGGAAATTCTCTCCATGTATGGAGTTAACTGTGCGTGTATTTCTTTATCGGCTACTAAAGCCCGTAAAAAATGCAAACGTCTTGCCCACGGAGAATCGTGCTGTGATTCTATACTTTTTAAATTGTCATCAGAAATATCATCTAACAGGTCTAATAATTGTTGTACCGCAAAATGCAAAAGAGGTCTATCTCGCCGATTATCGCTAACGACAATTCTATGAAACATTATTGACAATCCAGCACCTCTTCTGGTGATGTTTAAAGAATGCATAGAATCATCTTCTAATATACGCAATATATGTGTTTTTGGTAAATTAGAATACTTAGCTTCTTTACATAAACATCTGAAATTATTAAATGAATATAATTGTATGATATTCAATTTTCCTATTATCCTATTAGTTTGAATTATACCTAGTTAACTGTCCTATTGCTGCACCTGCTGCTTCCACCACACCTTTGTGTCTACATCTGAGTAATACAGTAACGATGATATT